CCCCCCCCCAACTCTAGTCACATGTTTTAAGTGGGCATGTGACCCCCCTAACTCTTGTCGTGTGAGGGTTTAAGTGAGCATGTGACTGAGCACCTAAGGAACTAGAGGAGGAAGAAGATAGATGATTAGAATTGTCTATCAACAGATCCCCCCAATTTCAGTCATGTGAGGGTTTAAGTGAGCATGTGATTGAGCCCCCCCAACTATAGTCACATGTAAGTGGGCATGTGATTGAACCCCCCTAATTCTAGTCATGTGAGGGTTTAAGTGAGCATGTGACTGAGCCCCCCCAACTCCAGTTACATGTTGTTTTAAGTTGCATGTGATTGGACTCCCCAACTCCAGTCATGTGCTGTTTTAAGTGAGCACATGACTTAACTTATCCTTAATAGCTATGGGCTTAAAACTGGGCCCAAGAGAATTAAGATTTCCTCTCTCCCTTGGCCTAGGAGAAATAACTGGGTCCATGGGTTCAATGCTCTTAACCGACCCCACAATGCTACTTAGCCCACCAACTCGACCCACCTCAGCTCCCAGTTCAACCATCTTGTTTCTTACTTCAACTCGCTTTTTAACACTTGTCACCTCTTTACTCTCCTCTTCAACATTAAAGTTTGCCTTGGCAGTATTCTCAACCACCTGTGCGAAGGTTCTGCTATGCGTCAAAGAGGTTTCTTGTGTTTTAAGCCTCTGACTTTCCATATGCTCCAAGTCTTTTTGGCTCCCCAGAAGTTGTTGGCCCATTTTAGTATAAGTTCCAGTCTTTTTTGAACCCTTCAATCTGCTTCTTCCACGTATAGCTTCTTCCTTAAACTCCTCACCTCCTTCCATTCTAGCTTCCTTCCACAAGCCTGCTTTAATGGAGGAAGCCAGCCAGATTGAAATGAAGACACCCTCCACTCTTATTTCCACCTTCCTTGGTATATCTTTAGGCCTCACTCTGCTTAGGAGAATAGCCGCAGAATGGAGGTCTCCCCAGTAAGCACCATCCAGTCTCCCTCCATAGATTAGTGCAATGACATCTGCTACTTCTTGCTTCCAAAGATGGAAAGGCAATCCAATCTACTTCTTGTTTTTCTTTTTTTTTTTTCTTATAAACATAGTCACATAAACATTACAGTAATTATTATCGTGAAAGGTTTAAAATGTCAAAAGACAAAAGACAAATAAAAGAACTGCTTATATATATATTGTTGATGTGCTTATGCAATCAATTATTAAATGGAGCAAAATGGATCTGCCATTGAAGCTTTATGCTTCAGTTGCAAAACATAATGAAGCACCATGATCGGCTAAGGGAAGTATGATAAATGTAGGGGGCATGTGGAATCATGGACAATGAGAAGAGGTGTAAATGTAGGGGGTGTCTGACAACTCTTTCTAAGTGATCTTTCAAGCTTTTAAAAGCTTAGAAGACCTGATTTTGGTTATTTTTTTTTGTTTGGTAACCAGAAGACAGAAGCTGAAAAAACAGCCCCCTACCCTCAGAAAGCTTAGATTTGTCTTCAATCTGAAAGCTTCATTTGAAGCTTCAGGTCTTTTTGAGCATATGGATATTTTCATTTGAGAAAGGGCATTCGAAAAACCGTCGTTTCCTCTTCGAGTGTTTAGGCCAAACAGATCTGCACCAGGTATGTTGTCCTCCGTCTTCTTTCTTTTTTCCTTTTTTTTTCTTTCTTATTAGATCCAAATCTTTTCTCGTACCTCGGTTCCTTTCAGATCTTATCTCTCCCCTCTCTTTCACTTGCTCCCGTCTGAAGCTAGGAAATCTAATTCGAAACCAGGTATCATCTCCATCATTTGATAGTGATGCGATCTCCTGATTTGCTCGTGGAACCATTTTTAGTTTGTTTCTTATTTGTAGTTGAATTTAGTAAAAATGAATGTTTACAGAACACATAAGAGGGCAATTTGTAGAACAATTTCATCAAAATGATCGCCCGATTGACAAGTTAGTTAATAACTATTGTTAGATACCCTTTAGGGCTGTTTAGTTGTGCAATAAATTCTACAATGATGGAATGAATCTTCATCTTGAAATTCCTTTTTAAACTTGTTTACGCCGTCCAAAACCAAGTTCATATTTAAACTTCAAGCTTTAAAATTTTGGTGAAACTTGTTTCCACTATATCAGACTAGCTCAGAGAACTTGTTTCCACTTTCCAAATGAATTCAACATTCAGCTCAGACCAATCCAAATTGATATTTGGAACCTTTTAATTTACTTACATCATAATATTGGACCCAGTGCATGTCATTTTGAACAATGCACCAAATGTTTTTCTATTTTACTTGAGCATGTCCTGGAGTTAAACAACTTCTGGACTGGTATCCATAATAAGAGTTTGCATAGCCTATTCTGGAATGGAGTCCATGAAGTTGGAGCAAAGAATAAACACTTTTACTTGTTAACTCATGGGATTCAAATATTGTGTTCATCTTTGATATCTCTATATACTTGTTCTTTTTGGTTAATAATTGATTCCACGTCTTAATTGTTGAGTCCATGATGAAACTAATAATTTATCTAAGGAATTGTAATCATATCTAGATTGAATACTAATTTATAGTCTGTGAGTAGCCTAACTAAATCCTTGAACTTGTTCTTTTCGGTTAATAATTGATTCCACGTCTTAATTGTTGAGTCCATAATGAAACTAATAATTTATCTAAGATATTGTAATCATATATAAGATTGAATACTAATTTATTGTCTGTGAGTAGCCTAACTAAATCCTTGAACTACAGTGTAACCTTTTTTCCTTCTTATTGTGTTTTTCAGGACTTGAAGTCTTAGAAAGTGATTGGGAGTGGCCATGAGGCGAATGGAATATACCTGCTGGATACTCTTGGACAAAGCCAATGACAACCTGGGAAAGCTGTTTTTGAATCTACCTCCAGAGTTCAGAGTCTTTTAGTCGTGTCATGTTATGTCATTTTCGTTCGGGTCATTTATCTTTTTCTCGTTTGAGTCATTTATTTCCAAAATTGTTTAAGGGAATTAATTTGTTCAACCTTCACTATGAGTCCTGTGAGTTATCAAAACATTGTATAAACAATTATCCTTTGAGTAATAAAAGATCATCCTCTCCATTTCATATTGTGCAATCTGATGTGTGGGGGCCATACCACTACCCTCTATGGGAGGTTATAGATATTTTATTTTGTTCATTGACGATTTCTCTCGATATACTTGGTTATTTTTGATGAGATCCCAAGATGAAGTTCCCAAGCTTGTGAGGTAGTTCCATGAATTTGTTATTCACTAGTTTGATACAAGAATCAAAACATTCAGTTTTGAAAATGCAAAAGAATAATTTGAGAAAAATCTAACCTATTATCTCACTGATTTTGGGGTCGTTCACCAGATTTCTTTTGTTTGTACTCCAGAACAAAATTTAGTAGCTAAGAGGAAGAATCGTCAAATAGTTGAAGTTGCAAGAAGCATTTTGTTTGCCTCACATGTCCCTACAAGATTTTGGGGGGATGCTTTTCTCATTGCAACCTACCTAATCAATCATAATCCATCCAAAGTGTTGGGTTTTAAGTCCCCCTTTAACCTCCTTCATCTGGGTAAGGGCCTTTTTCCTATTCTCCTTCGTGTCTTTGGCTGTATTTGTTATGTATACATTTTTAGTGCCTAGAGACATAAATTTGAGCCAAAGGCTCATAAGTGCATATTCCTTGGTTATGCCTCCACAAAGAAGGGTTATTACTGTTTTGATCCTAACATTGGAACTCGTTATGTTTCAATAAATGTTATGTTTGATGAGTCCACTCCTTTCTATGATTCTACTTTGAGGAAGCATTATTCGAAGGGGGAGAATTTGTCACAGTTGTTTGTACTCTCCCTTCTTGTCCCTATTGAGTCTCTTATTCTTGAAGAGTCAAGGGGGGAACAATCATCTTCAGTTCCTTCCAATATTTCTATTCCTCCTCCATTACCTCCTCGTCCCCTTTTTAATCCCAGGTGGTACTAGCGGCGAAGGACCAGAAGTGAGTAGATTGTTTCCTCTACATCACATGAGCCTCCTGCACTTTCAGTTACTGAAGGGACAATAGGTACTGATACCATCCCTTTGCAGCTACCCTTCCTAGATCTTGATGTCCCTATTGCTATCAGGAAAGGTAAACGGAAGTGTACTGCACATTGCACATTCAAAACATCTTTTCAATGGCTTGATTTCTCCTTTTTTATTCTGTTGCTTATAACCTTATACCTAGGTTTGTATCAAAAGCACTTACTTTTCCAGAATGGAGGGATGCTATGAGAATTGAAATAGATGCTCTGCACAAGAATGACACATGGAAAGTGGTTGATTTGCCTGAAGGGAAGGAGCCGGTGGGTTGTAAGTGGGTGTATACCATTAAATATCATGCTGATGGCTCCATTGAGAGGTACAAAGCTTGGTTGGTTGTAGAAGGTTATACATAAACTTATGGGATTAACTATCTGGAGACTTTTGCTTCTATTACAAAGGTGACATTTGTGCGGGTTTTACCATCTTTGGTTGCTCAATTAAATTGGCCTCTTTATCAATTTGATGTGAAAAATGCATTCTTGAATGGAGAATTACATGAGGAAGTTTCTCTATGGATTCAAATAGTCACCTAGGTCATGGTTTGAAAGGTTTAGGGCTTCCCTTGTTATAGTCTATGTTGATGATATAGTAACTGGCACCGATTTGACAGGGATTGATGATCTTAAATCTTTCCTTCATACAGAGTTTGAGATCAAAGATCTGGGGGAGTTGAGGTATTTCCTTGGCATTAAAGTGGCTCGGTCTGAGGATGGAATTTTTATTTCTCAACGAAAGTATGTACTAAACTTTCGCACTGAAACAGGCAAGATGGGTGCAAGACCAGTGGCTACTCCTATTGATATTAGTCACAAACGTTTTGCCTCTAATGGAGAACTGTTGAAGGATAAGGGAGTGTTTCAAAGGTTACTAGGGAAATTGCTATATCTTTGCATAACTCGGCTTGACATTGCATATGTTGTTAGTTGCATTAGCCAATTCATGCATTCTCCCAGGGACACTCATATGGTAGCAGCAGAATGGATTTTATGTTATTTGAAGAGTACTCCTAGGAAGGGAATTCTTTTTGCTAAGCATGATCATATGAAACTGGAGGCTTACATAGATGTTGACTGGGTGGGAAACATTGTTGATGGGAGGCAAACTTTTGGATACTGTAGCATGGTGGCAGGTAATATTGTTTTTTGGAGAAGCAATAAATAATCAGTTGTTGCTAGATCTTCAGCTGAGGCCCGAGTACAAGGCTATGGCTCATGGAGTTTTTGAGTTACTTTGGCTTCGATCATTGATGGAGGAACTAGGCGTTGAGTATGATAAGCCATTGGTGCTATATTGTGATAATCAGACTGCCATCAACATTGCTCACAATCCGGCACAACATAATAGGACTAAACATATTGAAATTGACAGGCATTTTATGAGAGAAAGAGTGGCTTCTGGAGAAGTTTGTTTACCATTCATTACATTTGAGGAATAATTAGCTGACATTCTTACCAAGGGAATCTCCAAGGCCAAACTACAACATGACATTGGCAAGCTGGGCATGATTGACATCTATGCTCAGCTTGAGGGGGAGTATAGAGAGAATGGGCCGAATGGCCCATGGGATGTTCTCATTTAATTCTATTTCAGTTTCTTTTGTTAATGGGGCTTTTATGTTTCTTTATGTTTATGCGTCCAATTAAGGGCCTCTTTATAAATACCACAACTATGTAAATTACTTTTTAATGAAAAGGATTAAATGAGAAGGGAGTAATGTTTGATTGACTCTTCTCCCAAAACACTATTGCCGCCAACTTCTTCTTCTCTCTTTGTTGCTGATATCTACTCATTTTTCACAACTTTTAAATCAGTCCTCTCATTCTTTTGGACTGTTTTTCTTCTTATACATATTAGAAAAATACACTTTTATATAAATAAAATGCACATATGTGTTTATTCTTCTCTTACAGGCTTAGGTTGGGTTTGGCCAGGCTTGGGCTACCCTAGACCTCAACCAAAGCCCAACCTAAGTTTAGGTTGGGCCAAAATTTTCTAGCCTAGGCCCAACTCGTAATCCAAACACTTACGCCCAACTCGTGCAAAAACTTGGGTTGGGTCCGTTCGTGCTTGGATTGGACCCACCCAAGTTGCACCCCTATTGAGGACGAGCCGAACAAGGACCAAAGGACCGATACACGATAACGAGTAGGGGTGGAAATTTTTAACCCAACCTGTTGAACCCTCCCAACCCACCTGTTAATTAATAGGCTTAAAACCATTATTTTAGTCACGGGCCATTTGTAGGTTGGTTAACCCAAGTAGTCATTTAACAGTGGAAGTGTGAAGAGATTGGCAAGTATTCCCCCACCAATGCAGAATCCTTACTACTACGAAAAGCAATTTTGGATGATTGTCTCTGTTTTACTATAGTTTTCTTTTTCTTTAATAAACCATATAATTGTGTCTGATGACACTGGCTTTATCCTTTTCTTTTGCTTCCTTAATAGATCTTGTCTAATTAGATGTGTCTTCATTGCAAGGGAAGTTTCCAAGGGGCATTGTGGACAGTCATGAATATTTGGATATCCTCTAGCCAAATGTTGTTGCAAACGAATAACATCACCACATTTAGATTTAAATCCAGGAAAAAAATTGTATTTCATTTTAAGTCTATTCCCATCAATCCTGGTTCCAAAATTCTAGCTTATATCAGCTTCTTCATCATCAGAGGTGCCATGTCCAATCTAACTATTGTATCCATAGAAATTAATTACAATCATAGAATGACAAAAGACTCCGGTTCTTTTTATTTGGAAAAGATGACAAGCTCTCTACCATGATATGCTAGACATTCTTTTTATTTGGAAAATACCTTGCTAACTTTTTCTTGTCGTTTTCAGAAGAGAAATCTTTTACCTCTTTTGGTAGTGGTTTTATCTTTGTTGGTAATTCCCTCAAATTTTCAGAGCTACTTGAATTGCTAGCCCTTCAGCAGCTGAACTTGCAATCTGAGGATAGCTGGACTTGGAACTGGAGTTCAGATGGCCAGTTCTCTCAGTGAAATCCTTTGCTCATTACTTATCTGATAACACCCTGGAAGAGATGCCTGCATCTATAATCTGGAATCCACTCTCTCCTTCAAAGATTAATGCTTTGGTTTGGGATGCAATTCTAGAAAGATGTTTAACCAAGGTTCATCTCTCAAAAAGACGTTTTCAGCTTCAAAATTTGCTTTGTGTCCTTTGCGGCCAAGATTTGGAGGATATTAATCATCTTTTTCTTCACTGTCCTATCTCGGCTAAGACCTGGAATCATTACTTTTCTGCCCTGGATCTTCACTGGGTCATGCCTGGGTCTGTAAAGGAGCTGCTGAGATGTTGGGAGCTGCAAGGTCTGTCAAAGCTGGCAAAAAGTCTGTGGAGGTCCATTCCGGTGGCTGTAATCAGCACTATTTGGGCAGAAAGAAATAAAAGAATTTTTCAAAATCTGTCCAAAGATCCAGAAGATCTGATTGCATTTACATTTGGAAAATTGCTCTCTTGGATCTCTGCCCTAAATGGGTTTTAGGTCTCTCATCTGGGGCTAGACTGTCTTTTGAGGATTTATGGAATTTGTAATGTTGTATGTTCTGTTTGATCTTTTCCCTGAAGTCTGTTTTTTTTTTTTTGGGGGGGGATCCTCTTGTACTTTTATCTCATATTTAATGAAATTACTTTACCTTTTCTAAAAAAAAAATAATTCCCCCAAATTTTATTCGTGCAGGTTCTGCTAATTTGTGGAKAAACATTGCATCCATCACGGATTCTATTTTCACTTATGTTTGGAAGTCCTACAGCAATTCCTTCTAATAGTCCTCATCTACGGCGTTCTGGTAGCAGGCCTATTTTGTCTGACCTAGGTATCAAATTGAAAGGTTTGAGCAATGAATWTGAAATGATTTCTCCTTTTCTGCCACATTTTGTGGAAGCACTATTTACACTTCTGATTTGGTTGATCCTTATTTTGGTTCAGGTGAAGCTGGAAACAATTTTGAAGAAGGTTCTGTGAACCTGGGAGAATTGTTTGAAATGAAAACTGCAAATTCTCCAATGCAGGTGGCTGCAATAATGCCATTCCCAATCCTTCTACGGAGATTCAAGGTATTTGTTTCTTATTGCTTAAGATATATACTTGGTACTCACTTTTGTTCTTTTTTTGCTTTAGTCCATACTGTGCCTTGATATCAAGGGGTGCTTAGTTAAAGATCCTATGCTCACAAGGAGTTTCTCCTTGGTGGTGGGAGGCATTAACATTTGGAATTTCTATTCCTTTTTCTTTTTTTTAAATCCCAAAAGAATTCACTAAAACCTTGATACCTTGCAGTTGAGGACTTGTTTGGATGTTAATGATCTCATTGTATTGTGCATTTGCAACTTTTTAAGTGATGTGATGATAACTTGTTATTAGACAAAAAAAAAATAGAGAAAATTTTTTGTTGGTTACATTGTTTATTTGCTGTACTTGCAACTACCACTATCGCTACTGTTACTATTCATTTATAATGAAGTACTGTTACTACTGTATTAGAGTAAGAGAAAAAAAATACATAGGAATGTGTTGATGGAGCTAATTTGAGAGTTTGAAACATTGGGACTAAAAATCTCTGAGGTTAGGTAACACTATCTCATTTGCACCCTTGGCACATGTTGGCATACTTTAATTGCATTAGGAAACATATTGAGCTTGAAGATGCACAGTTTTGGTTTTTATGTACTTATTTTGTACCATTTTGATACTTGATACTATATGTGTTGTTTCCATCCTCCTAATTCTAATCATGCTTTGACATAGACCTGATTGAAATTGATTTTTCCAGGTTTTGCTGTTTATTGTCTGGGGYTTTGGTTGTTGCAAGGTCAGTTGTGATTCTTGTGTTCTTGTTTTATGCATGGGACATTTGGGAGGTTGTTGAGGATGTATTCGAAGAACCTTTAAACTTGATTGTCTTATTATATGTTTTAGTTGGATCGATTTGTCCAAATTGCAGATTGGCTGGGATTCTGTCATGAGAATGAGTGTGGATTTACGGGATTTGTTTTTGTATGAAGCTTTCTTGTATTATAATCCTCTCCTTCTTGTGGTAAGTTAGGTTCGCTTGTTGATAAGTCATGAGAATGGTTGTGGATTATTTTCTTTTTTTTTGATATTAAAGATTTTTTCGTTGTGTCACAGCTCACATACCATTTTTTGGTTTTGTTGTGGCAGACTATGATGGTTTGGCTTTGGGGAGTTAATCTATGGGTTTTTGCTCAGTCTGGTGTCAGTTACATGAAGATATTTGACCTTGATCAGAACCATCTTACTCATAGGGAAATATGGAAGGTATTAACATTCATATGTTAATTGGTGAATTATATAATTTTGTGCTTTCAATAACTTGTGTATATCCTTAAAAGTTTAATTTATTTTTGATTCTTTAAGCCCCATGGATATCACGGCCTTGGTTGGCTCCAATGTTTGAGGAGAAATAGGTTGGGTAAGATTGAAAGTGGCTGGACCCCCTGGAGGAGCTGCACTATGTATCCTCTGGAGAGGGATCAAGCCATTGTAGTTCATGCGGCAAGTGTAAAGTTTGAGAGAAACTGAGAGAGGAAGAGGGGAAGAGAGGCTGTGCCCTAATGTTGGGGGTGCTACCATTTAGTTTAGGAATATTTATGTTTTGCTCTTTTTTTTTTTAATTAATTTTTGAAGGGCTACACAATGGGGGGTAGCCCATCCCCCAACCTATTACCCCCCAACTCTGGTGCAGGTGGTATTCGATCCCAAGTCTCTGCTACGACCAGCAGGAGACCTTACCAACCAGCTGGTTGGCACCTTGCAATATTTATGTTTTGCTCTGACTTACTGCTTGGTGACTTGGGTTGGTCATTGGACTGAGTTGACTTGGTTTCCACTTGGGTGGTTTAAACTAGGTTTATGGAGGTTTATGCTCTCAAAGAAGCAGTTTTTGTAATGTTCTTTTTTTTTTTTTTTTTGCTTCTGTAGGAAAACTTAATACTAACAAAAACCCAAAAAGCAAGAAACTTCTTCTATTATCGATATAGGCATATATGAGCAAGACACTGCTCCGCCTGTGTTTAGTAGGGGTATTTGGTGGTTTATTTGGTTAACAAGGTATTTGTTGAGGACGATCGGGTGGCATAATGTTAGACCTCCACAAGTCTTTGGTAGGGATATTTGATGGGTGTCATCTTGAGTTTTTGAAGGTTGAGAGATGGTTATCGCAAGGGTGGCCATCATGAAACCAACTTCTGGGTAGAGCTGGAGGCTCTTTTTTTCCCTTGGTCATGGTGATGGGTTGTTCAACACCTTGTGGCTTTGCTTTGAGAAATAGGGAGTGTTTTGGGGAGATCACTTTTTCAGGTTGTAGCAGTAATGGTTGATGGTGGGTCTAAACTCTTATGTTTCTTCTCAATTTTTGGTGTGGAGATACATTCAAGGAAATTTGAGATGCCTTGAATGGATTCTCAGTGGTGGAAGAAAATAATTTTTGTTCAATGGAGAATTGCAAATTTGGTGTGTCTTCTAGTTTAGGGGAAGTAACTTTTGATGGTGCCAATTTTTTTGATCAGCAACACAAAAAATTTCATTAATTATGAGAGGAACATGATTACAACAAGAAGTTGTGAAAAGAACCAGCTATAGAAGCTGTCCCAAATCAGTATTACATTTGAGCCCAAAACATGTGTTCTATGTATCCCTTGCTTGGCTAAGCTATCTGCCAGGCTATTAGCAGTCCTCACCCATTTCACTCGGATTAACATGTCCTGTGACAGCCATTTGAATTTTCTGAATTCATTCCTCAAGTGCCACTCCACCCCCTCCCCTTCAACCAGCCACTTAACCACAGTTTTAGAATCTCCCTCAATAATCAGCCTACTAATACCCGGTTCTTTTGCCTTCTCAATCCCAAAAACTGCTGCCAAAAACTCTGATCTTGCCACATCACCCTGCTCCACAGGGCCAGAGTATAAAGCAATTATGTTCTAATCTTCATCCCTAATGACTCCCCCAATACCTGAGGGGCCTAGGTTACCCAAACAGCTTCCATCAAAATGCAGTTTCTTCCAACCATTTATTGGGGGAGACCAAGCCTCAACAGATCTTTGTCTTGTAGTTGAGGATGCAGCAATAATATCCCAAGCTCTGAAGAAATCTTCAATCTTGAAATCCGAAAACAGCTTCAAACTTTTTGCCCAGTGTGCTACTCTCAATGTTTTGTTTTGAAATATCAGTAGAAAAATTTCATTAAATTGAAAAAGAGGTACAGTACAAGAACTTTTGGTTGTCAAGTTGACAAACCGAGCAAAGGTACAACACTCAAACTGAAAAAAAAATCTTCATTATGGGGCTGTAGCTCAATAGTACTCCAGAAGTTTTCTAACAAATCAACTTTGTTCACTGTGTCTGGGAGCTGTAGCACCCAATCTGAAATCAGATTGCTCACTGCGGCTACCAAGTGATCAATGGACTTATCTTCAAAGATCCTTCTGTTCCTCTCATTCCATATAGCCCAGAAACTGCAAATGGAGTGCAGCTCCACATGATTCTGGCTTTCTTGCTTCCTCTGAATTTTGGCCATTTGGAGAAGATTTCTGCTGGCGATAGAGGTTGAAAGACATTGACCCCGAACATAAAAGAGAAAAACTTTTTTTTTTTGATGAATAATAATAAATTTATTAATTCGGAAGCAGATTTAGAGTGAGTTCATACAACATCCTAGAGAGAGGCGCGAGCTGCAGCCCCTCCTTGAATCTTACAAGTAAACTAGGAAATAAAAGCAAGAATCACAACTGAGCCCAAAACAATTATTCCCTATTTACCCCTTGCTTAGCTAACACACCTGACAAAGTATTTGCTGATCTCCCCACCCACTGTACAGTGACCAACATATTCYTTRTCMAYCAAHTAAATTTYTTHATTTCATTCTTGTAACGCCACATAGCCTCTTCAGGATTTTTCAACCAACCCACCACCACTTTGGAATCCCCATCGATTGTTAGGTGTTGTACCCCCAACTGATAGTTTAAAGAGTTTAATCAAGAGTTTTTATAGGGCTTTTGGAGTCTAAAGGCTCCTAAAGTTGACTCCATCACCATTTTTTTAATCAATAACAAATAGCTTCTTTTGGTGGGAGAGTTAAGAGAGCTTATCTCCCCCCTTATTCCTGTACTTGATTTTCATATTTTAATGAAAGCTATTTGTTATTGATTAAAAAAAACAAAATTACACATGAGCCCAAAACAAAGCATCCCTATTTACCCCTTAGCTAACCCATTCCCAAATACAATTAACAAAATGGTTGGAAATTCACAAGTGATAACCATTCTCACTATTAGCTTTGCAAAGAACACACCGACGAGGAGACAAACAACTTTTACGTCTCTTTTTCTGAAGCAAGTCACAAGTGTTGATTTAGTTCAGAAATGTTTCACAACAAAAACCCCCAACCCTAGGAGGAATAGGATTACACCAAACTTCCTTAATAGGGAAAGACAGCCCAAGGGAAAATTTTGGTTGAGCTAAGGGTTTGAGAAAGAAGGCACAAGTGAATTGCCAGAGGCCGAGACAGTCCAAACCCTACAATTTGGTTTTGTAGGGTCCAAGTAAACCCCATCAAGGATACCCAAAAGTGAGGATGTTCTATTTAACTCTGAATCCCTAAATGCCCTTCTTAAACCCAAATTCTAACCAAAGCTTGAGACAGAGTTTGAGGGTACTAGAAATGTGGTAATTGGTCCTTCAAAGGGAATCTCCAATCCATACTTGTTCCTAGAATTTAATAAGGTTACCAGAATGCAAATCATACATGATCCAAGGCAAAAAAAGAGACAGGATAGCTTGAATGGCTTTCCATGGTAAAACTCTTGTAGTCCTAGTCAGAATTCCAGCATCCCAACCATTATTTTTCAAATCCATGAATACTTCTTACTACCTTAGCCCACAACTTTTCCTTATCAAGCAGAAATCTCCATAGCCACTTCCCCAAGAGAACCAAATTCCTTTTCTGAATATTTCCAAGACCGAGACCTCCAAACTTCTTATTTCTACATACTAGTTCCCACCTCACCCTATTGTCTCTTTTCTCCTCCCCTGGTTCCAAAGGAAATCTCTCATTAGCTCCTCCAACCTTCTTCCAATCCCTTTTTGAAGCCTAAAAATTGACACAAATCTCCTTTCCTTGGGCTATCTCATAGAGGCATTCCTAAATAATTCAGAGGCCAAATGGACACCGTACAACCCAAAATACTTGCACACTCTACTACCTCCCCCTCCATATTGATTCCAACTATACAACTTTCAAATTAGACAATTTTTGTTCACTTTTCTGATTCAATCAATAAAGCTTTGAAATTCTTAATGCTTTCTATATCTAAATAACTATATATTATTATTCATCCTTCTTGTTCTTCCCTAGATTACTGGCAAGTAAGTTTTGTATTTCTACTAGGATGCTGTTTTGAGGAGTTTTGTTGCATTTCTATTGGCAACTCTTTAGTTTCTTACAGTCTAACCCAAAAAAGTGAACCCTAGATGGAACATTGGCCTTTAACATTTCGGTCTCAAGGGAAAGGATCGTTGATGCACCTGAGCAGTGAGCTGTGCTACATTGGAGGATTTAACTGAGAAAATATAATGGGCCTTGCCTTCCATGTTCTAATTTTGCTGCCTTCCATATCCTACATACATCTAAGTTCTTTTTTCTGTAATAAATATATGCCTGAGTCTTCATTTTAGACAAAAGTGGTGTTAATTTTTAATTTGACGTCAGTAAGTTTGAATATAAGTCTGCAAATGGATTAAATTGTGGCTTTTCTTTTTCTATTGAATTGAGCATTCTCATATTCTTCATTTCTTTGTGATTAATATTCATTCTGGTAACTATCTTCCTCTGGTTCTGGATTGACTAGTTGAACTCTCATTTAAACTTCTAGGGACTTGTTTTAAAGTAACTTGAGTTATGAAATTTGTTGTTTTGCAGTCTGCAACATGGATGACAATTATTGTCCCAACTAGCATGACAGCTTATCTTTATCTCTACTCCCATGGAGAAGTATCATTGGCTGCCTCACAACCAGTATAGTATCTGCCTGCTCTATCAAGTCTCAATTATAAATTATGGGTTTTATATGAAATGTTTTTCTGGATCCTTCTAACTTCATGCTGTTAATTTATGACATAATAAAGTTTTGATTTGACCTATTCTGGACTAGATTTCATATTTTCTACAGGGTAGAGAAATTGCATGTCAAATTCTAGTTGCTAATGAGTGTGGACTGATATTTTCTCTTGATGGTCATATTTTCTACAAGGATTGATCTATAAACTTGATATTGATAAAGCATACAATAAAGTGGATTGATATTTTCTCTTGATGGTTATGAGAAACTGTGGTTTTGAGGAAAAGTGGTGCAAGTGGATATTGGGTTGCCTCGAGATTTTTCATTACTCGTTCTTGGTGAATGGGCCAGCACTAGATTTTATCTTGACATTTGTGCTCTTAGACAGGGTGACATTCTTTCTCTCTTGGCATATGAAATATCTAGAATTACCCCCAAGAGCAAGCCCCCAAAAAAAGAGCATAGATTTGGACCCCTATGATTGAAAGAGTGTCAAAGAGGTTAGCCACTTGGAAGAAGGGGTACGCTACCTTTGGGGGCATGATTACCTTAATTAGGTTAACATTGGCAAATCTCTTGGTTTACTACATGTTAATTTTTAAGATAACATGGGTGGGAAAGCAAATAGAAAAATTGGTGATAGACTTTTTGATGTGAGTAGATGTAAGAGGCATGGGGGGTTGGGAATTGGAAATATTGGAAAGAAGAATTTGGCATTGCTGAGAAAATGGCAGATAGGAATAAGTTATGGTATAAGGTGGTGATCAACATTCATGGGCAATTTGAAGGGAAGGGAGATCCATCATATGGATGGCCGAACCATGCAGGGTGGCTGGGCAAAATTTCAAAAATTTTCTTTCTACCTTTGGGGAATCGTATTCCCAGTTTTAGAAAAACTGCACTTTTCAAGGGTCGTTCTTGAAACAAACCGGACTAGATCTGAAACCAAAATAAAGGGAGGGCTATACCTTTTACGGAATCCACAAACATAGCTCCCAAAGTAGGTGTTCGCGCCCAAAGAGGGTACCAAATCCTGCCTTTACTGAAGATGGCGCAGCTTGAGGTGAAGTAGTATCGGCAATGTAGTCCTTCAGCAAGAACTGCAATCCTTCAACAAGGATCAAGCAAAGGGAGGTGAGCACGAATTCAGATATGATTTTTCTTGCAAAAATCAGAATCAAGATCCAATCTTGATCAGTCCAAGAATGAAGATCGAACAGGGTATATGGCAGCAAGAGCAGAAGGAGAGGGAGAACTAAAAGCAGTGTGTAACCTTTAAGCAGTTCGCCCTCATCTATTTAAATAGATCTTAAAGAGTTAATTTCCTAATCTAATTAGGAGTTTCCTAATCCAAATCTTTATTTGGATCTGAACTCTTTAAGTGGATAAGACTTATCCTCTTATTCTTATCTGCTGATCCAAACCCATATCTAAACCAAGATTCACCCATATTGATTAATCATATTAATCTTGGGCCCTAGGCCCATTAAGTAAGTGGGCTCGCCTCCCCTTTTTATTGCTAGCTAGTTTGACTCTCTTTGTATGGCGTGGGACCTTAACATTGATCTTCACAAAAGCCATATGAGTTCAGCCTAGCCTTTGTTACAAGGTTTGGCCAGATTCACTATTGAACACAGTGAACCCCTGAGCCTATCAGTATGGGCTCTTAACAAGCCCAACATTTACACTAAATGGTCATTGAGTCCAGCTACCTTAAGTGAGATTAGCCCATCAGGTTTATAAGCCCTAAATGGTATTGCACTTAACCTCTCAGCCCATAATGATCAAACACTACCCGACAAGAGAGGACCTCTCCCTCGGCTGCATGGTACAGTGTCACACTCTCTGCTCGGGATGGATTCCGGGAATTAAAACCTTTGCAAACCTTTTTCATAAAACATAATATATATAAATATATTTTGCAAAATAAATCTCAAACAAGTTTGAAATCAACTGCTGGCAGTTTAGGTTTCTATCAGAGAGAGTGCTATCCCCGATTATTCACTTCGTCCGACAAAGGGGCTGATTCTGTCACTATGATCACCTACACAGGTGAATTCTCAGACTGCCCCAACATACCCAGGTTTTGACCCCCGCTAAGGATCTCACTGATTGGCATATCAAAGATAACCCAATCCAACACCTAGTGCAGTGCCATAATCGAGTCTAGGAGTTAGGTGTAACTTTCCAGTTTTGCCCATTTGTCTCCAAGGTCCAGGGCATAATTGGAAAATGGTCTGGTTCAGAGTTTCAAGCAAACCCACACTACATGTGCTTCAGGTCTAACCCTGGTAGCTGAGACAAGTTGCCCCAACCGAATTGGCAACACATTAGTGTCAGCCTTGGCAGGATAAACCTCCCTAGGTCTATCCAATTGTAGTGTCAAATCGGATGTTCCAACTTCTAGAAGCTTGCTTAAGTCCGAGTTTACACACCATGTGTTCCTGACCTGCAGCAATGAAACCTTGTGGTTGCTGCATATAGATATCTCCAGTAAGATCTCCATTCAAGAACGTGGTTTTGACATCCATTTGCCAAATCTCATAGTCATAGTGTGCTGCTATAGCTAGCAAGATCCGTATGGATTTAAGCATGGCCACTGGCGAAAAGGTTTCCTCATAATCGATTCCCTCTTTTTGAGTGTATCCCTTCGCTACAAGACGAGATTTGTAGGTCTCAATCTTCCCATCAAGGGCCCTTCTCCCTCTTGTAGATCTATTTGCAACCATTTGCTTTCACCCCAGGGGGTGGATCTACAAGAGTCTAGACCTTGTTGGTTTCCATATAAGTCATGGGATCTTCCTCACTGATTGTGGCGTCCATCAAGTAACTTTCTTGATCATAGCCGTAACGAACTGGAGGCCTAGAAACCCGAGTAGATCTTTGGAGCCTGTGGGACATCTCCTACTACTCCTGAGCTCTCCTCATTAGGAACGATTTCCTGACGATGATTGTTCAGGATGCAATCTTCTTCCAAGAAGTAGGCATTTCGACTGCAAAACACATTTTGCTCTTTTGGGTCATAGAATAGGTAACCTACAGAGCTTTTTGGGGTATCCTATAAATAGGCAACGATTGATCTTGGATTCCAATTTGTCAGCACTTGTTCTCTTAACATGTGCCGGACAACCCCAAATGTTTAAGTGTTTTACACTTGGTTTCTTATTGGTCCAAAGCTCATAGGGAGTCTTAGGAACGGATTTGGTTGGAACCCGGTTCAGCATGTATATTGTAGTCTCCAATGCGTATCCCCAAAAGGATATAGGTAGTTTTGAGCGGATGAGAAGTGAGTGGACCATATCCAATAGAGTCCGGTTTCTCCTCTCCGATACACCGTTTAATTGTGGTGTAGCAGGAGGAGCTAACTATGATACAATCCCATTGTCCTTTAAGTAGTCCCTGAATTTGTTGAAGAGATACTTGCCTCCTCGATCTGATCGAAGGGATTTGATCTGTCTCCCCAACTGTTTTTCGACCTCTTGTTTGAACTCTTTGAACTTTTCAAAGGATTCAGACTTATGTCTCATTAGGTACACGTAACCATATCGAGAGAAATCATTGATTAAGGTTATAAAATAAACGTGTTGGTTGCATGTCCTAACATTTATGGGACCACATACATCAGTATGTATTAGGTCAAGTGTGCCCCGTAGATCTTTTAGGCTTTCCTGTAAATGGCCGTTTCGTCATCTTACCCTAAAGGCAAGCTTCACAGGTTGGAAGATCTTATACAATTAGAAAATCCAAAGGACCATCCTTTACCAACCTTGTGATACGATCTATATTAATGTGGCCAAGTCGGTAATGCCACAGGCACGTGTGATTAACCGTATCACGTGATATTTTCTTGGGGATAATTTCTGACGTAGTTTCGGTTGTGCTTGTTTCTAGAGAAGGACAGAGGACATAGAGACCATTCTCCAGTTCTATGTAAGTGAGGAATTTGTTATTCAATTTAATAGTAATCGTATTACTAAACAAAATAGAATAACCATCCTTGCACAATTTTGAAACGGAAATTAGATTCATTCTCAAAGTTGGTACATAAAGACAATCTTTAAGTGTAACAATTCATTTTCTGAAAAATAAATCTATAGTTCCTATGGTTGTAGCTGCAACTGTTGCAAAAGTCCCCAAGTGTCACTTCACCGTCACTCAGCCTTCTGTTTGTCTTGAATCCCTGCAATGCGTTACTTGCATGAGTAGAAGCTCCTGAGTCAATACACTAGGATGCAGAAGTGACTAACATATTGGTCTCATTGACAAAAGATTCAAAATTACCTTCTTTCTTGGTCTCCAGATACTGAGGACAATTCCTCTTCCATTGTTTGGTCTACTTGCAGAAATGAGTGTATTGACTTCGGGGCTTCATTGTTAACAGTTCTAATGGATCGGATAGTGTGGCTGGTTCGTCAATGGGGACTTGCGTTCTTCATTGTGGTGAGTCTACTGTGGTGTATGATGTTTCTACTGTTCGGGACAATGCTTTCGACTTTCAAGCCATGTCAAGAAGCTAGCCCTTCTTTAGTTGAGCTGCGTTTGAGAGGTACAGAGGAAGCTGAAGGGGTGGAGTCACGTTTGGGGGATAGTGAGAACTAATTGGATGTCATTTTGAAGACCAAAATTGTTGGGGTTGAAGAAGGTAACCCATTTGGAGAAGCAAATGACAGTTATGGCGAGCTTTGACCTATTTCTCTAATTCATTTTCAGAAGGTTGTGGTCGGTAAGTTAGGTATCTATCTGGGTCGCAGGAGGAAATTGGGGGAAAGATGTGAATCTATTGAGGATGACTTGGTTCCTAAGAAGCACAGGGCTTCTAGTAAGATGCATATTGTCCATGTAACTAAAGTTTTTTCTAGACTGAAGCTCGACCTGGTTGGAGTTAGTTGATCCTGATGGGGGAGTCTCGAATTATGATCCTATTTTAGCTTTAGAGATGGTAAACACTCGACAACTA